AACTACGGGGAACCATGCAAAAAACGCATCTTCGCACGGGCAGCCCGTGCGTTGGCCAATTTTTCGATAATGTTAGCACATCCCATACGGCACAAAGTGCATGAAATCACCATCCACTAACGTCTACGTCCCGCATACGGATACAACAAAATTCAGGCTCCAAGACTGCTGGCATCTCTAACTGGACGGAACGGTAAGTTACGTTTCTAAGTGAATATTCCCAAATTATGAATGATTGCAGGAGCATAAAGTAAGTATCTGTGTGCACCCATATCTCACCAAAGAAACATTTCACTGCTTCCGTGTGGATGCACGCATCAACATAAAAGACACTCAACAAAGCCAACGCGGCCACAAATCTTGTCAGCACAGCGCCAGACATTTGTAGGAAACTGTGCAAAAACGCATGATCGTACCGGCCAGCCGCCTGATGCGTTCCGGCTTCAGATATACGATTATGAAGAGACACGTCAAGCATCCTTCGTTCCATCATTCGATCTGTCACAGCTAGCGCTCGCTCATCAACTTTTCATCTGTGACCATGTTCTAGATCCGTATATCACTGCTTTCCAGCGCAGTGGCAGTAAAGAGGTGATCGCAGTCCTTATGGTTCAGAATTAATGCATTAAAGTTATAGACGTACGTTATGTTTGGGGTCCACGGTATGTCGTATGTGATGACGACACGTGAGCTGATACTGGACAGTCTATCAACTGTGTGTTGCATGCTTCTATAAATCGTATCGTTGAATATCTCTGGATCTTCAAGCCGATCTGTTAGTGGACTGATCGTTCTAAAATCAAATCGTAAAAAGTAGAAATTGCATGAATTACTAAATTTGTTACTTTAACAAATTCACTCTGAATAAAATCTCTTTTCTGAACTTCTTTATTTCCCTTTCTAGCTTGATTTGGATATTTTAGCTTAAGCCTTAGATTTTGTACCTGTAGTTAAACTGTTACGTTCGTTCATTTGGATTTTTATACTTTATCAGTCCAATTTTTCATTCCATTTCTTCCAGCCCAGACGATTCTGGAGCTTCAGGTGTAAAAGGAAAAGGCAAGAAGGAGCTTTCTTAGGAGTTTTTAGAGAAAAGGGATTCCCACTAAAGCAAGCTAAATTTTCGACTGTAGCTAGTAAGGGATGAGTCTGCTTAAGATAGGGCTCAACGAATCGTTATCGTTTTTCAAAGCGGTTCTCGAAATAAGAAACATCAGATTGCTTTGGCAATGGATGGCCTGAGTTCTTGTTAATGACAATGGACTAGTACTCCGGTAGCATCAGATAGAAATGAAGATAAAGCGATAGACCGTCGAAATTCGTAAATTGGACCCTGATGAGGTAGCCAGGGTTGGATAGTCAGAATGCCGAAGCGCTTGCTTCATTTTGTAACGCTTTATCACTAATCAAAATGGCTGAAGCACGGATGTTGTATACATACTTGAATATGAGGAATGTTAGATGTGGTTTCACTTGCTCAATAAAATTTAGTGCATTGATACTGAATTCGCGGCAGTCCACTGGAGTAGCATCATTCAGAAAAGGTAGGCAATCCTTTTTTGCAAGAAGACGAAGTACGCGGAACCGAAATTGACCCAACGAACGCTCGACTATTTCAAATGAACGACGAGCGAATTGGTTACCGAACAAAAGAACACTGACCTTTCCAGTACCCTGAAAATTCAAAGTTTCCTGATCTTCCGAGGTGAATTTTTCTTCACCCAGTAATAAGACAGTTGAAATTTCGAAATGAGCAGTGTGTGGCATAAATATGAATCATTCAAATTAGCCAAACCTTCTTGCATGCGCTATACAAAGTACCACTGGTGGAGCCGAAAAATTTCATATACAGCTTGTCGGATTCACTATTCGGGATAATATCGGGAAAGACTTGTCCCAGTAGCTCTTTATTGCGCTCAACTGCCTCCAAACGTATGCTTTCGGTTATGTTAAAGACTGGTTCCTTGATTAAACTTGCGTTGTATACCAGTTCTACAATTTTCTTTGAAGAAAATTAAATAAAACCAATACAAACCACGACGTGCTTTGAAGCTCAAATTGAAATATTTCGATCACACATGGGTACAGAATATCCTTGCAAATTTCGGGTACCTAGCATGTCTGGTTGGCGAAATCACTTTTTGATACGCGATATCTCTAATGCAAACTTCTTTTTGTCAAAAAATAGTGAACCTTGCATATAAGCCCGAGTAATGTTTTCTTCTTTAGACCATCGATCCAACATTGCCTTAGTGCGGTTGTCGAAAGCAACATGCACACCATATGTAATAAGAAGGAAAATATGGACAAATAGAGCAGTACGTAAGAAATGCGTGCGTATGAAATACTGCTCAACGAAATAGTAAGAAATGATTGAGATAACTGCTGTCAGATGAAGTGCGTCGAATGCTGCTGAAATAATAATACAGCTAAAACATGCCGGATTATCACTGGTAGCGTTGTCGAGATTACAACTTAAAGTCCAGAAACCTCCTTTGGAAGAAAATTGCAAATCTCAGCCAGGAAAAAGCGTAAGCAGAAGGGTGATGTGTGTAAAAAAAGGCTTAATTTGCATATAAATTGCTATTTGTTTATATTATTTGCCAAAGTAAGCATATGTGCCTACAAAGTTCAAGTTCCTCGCTCCAAGTTTATTTGGGGAAAAGTGACATAATACCTAAGTCCTGGCTTTCTTAAAGCTGCCAGGATCTGCTCATCATCTTGTACCTACGTCCTCTGCTATTTCCACACTACGACGAGATATTTGAGTCGGAACTATGTACGAAATTTACGCATTCGTAGGCAAACACGGAGCAGTGGGAAGTAGCAGTGTTTTGATGCAGTAGGTTGAAGGCCCATTTCGACCAGTGGAACAACCAGTCCCATCTACGGTTCTTTCATTTGTTTGGACATTAAATTAGTGACAGTATATTCTACGGGGTTTAGAAAGCCATCGTTCTGCTGGTAAGCAACTCTCCAAAGCGGGAGTCATCGATATTTGTCAGTGAGTAGCTGCTGTTGCATTTTGTTTCCAGTCAAGTTGCCCAGAGTGCTTTCGTCTCTCACAAAAGCAGGTACAGAAGGGATCCTGACTTTGGACTTTTCGAATGAACTTACTTAAACAGAAAAGAAAATTGTCGTAATCGTTTCGTATATACCGGAGGAAATTTATTATGGGCCAGTGTGCTAAATAAATCGAGTAAGATATATTGCCAACGAAGACCAATATTCGGCTTCCAAGAATGAGCTTCGTGAATGATTGCCATCGGTCAGTGAGAATGAAAGCAACCAGGACACTGATCACCACACGGTACCTTTGCTTTTCATATTCCGAATGCACCAGTGGGCTAGCAATCACCACTACCAGTGCTACACCAGTCGCTATCTTCCATAAACGGACTGACCAAGATGATGTTGAAGCTGAAATTCGTTTTTCATGTTTCAGCCTCATTACGGCAGCGGCCCATAAATTAATATTCAGAATTTCAAGGCAGTCGAACCATCCGTCAGTGGGTGATTTAACTTATCTGCATCAGCTGACAGAAAGAAATTACTACCGAGGATGGAGCCAAGTCCATAAAGATATGGGCCTGAGAAATCGAACTCCTCATTTCATCATTTCGGGTTCCTCAGATTTATGATTTCTTTCTTGTTACACAACTCATTTCCCGCTTTCTACAATTATTTTTAGTTCCCACCTTTTATTAAAATACAAAGGAAAATATGCAAGTTATAGAACTCGCAAGAAATCTTGGATTTTACACATTCAGTACACCTCTCAACTGCACTTTTCCAAGCACAAAGTTTGATTCTCTAACCACACGACAATCCCTTTTGCCAAAAAAGCTTTACCTTTGGTTTTGCTAAAACGATAAGCAATACCGCCGAGCAAAAATTGCCATAAGCGAGAACGCATAAATGAAGCTGAATCCACGACATTCGAGAAGCAGTAAAAATAGAGTGAAGCTATACCAGTGAGAATGGCAAATGCGCTGCCAATGCGGGAATTCCGGCTGAGCAATATGATGAATGGCGCAATCAGATAAAACTGCATCTCCACACATACAGACCATGTGTGCACGAGAAAATTATAAGTCACGAGCTAAAATTGGCGGCTTACCTCATTTTCACATTTTCACTCATCTCTGTCAATACTTTAAGTGCACACATGAAAAACGGAGGGCACAAAGCTTCAAACATGCAGTAATCAGCGAGAGTTTGTTGTGGTGAGATGGTGACAAAAAAGTTCTGGGATAAGGTCATAATTGCCTAATTTTTGTGAAAAAAAAAAGAACGAAGCAAGTCTAGCAGTCTTGAGAAGTCTAATTCATACTGCCGTAGTCAAAAGTCAAAACTTCCTCTGCATTTCCTGCGAGAGAAGGAAGCTGTCGTGGAAGTCTCACAAAAAGACGGTAGTTATTGAAAAAGTGTGCTGCAGCTAGACGATGTAGAATATACAGAGTATAGGGCGCTTTAAACACAGATTATAGATAGTATGGCGCATGGCGTCCGAACTTGAAGACGAGCGGTCTGTAACTATTTTCAAAAAGAGACTCCGTTTGCGAGAGGAGCACTTATTAAGTAGTCTCTGAGTGGTAGCAAATGCCAACAACAACCGCTCGGTAGCAAAACTGTTGATGGTTCTCTCTTTTGAAAGTTGTTTTAAAAAAATTGATGGCAGTTCTGACTCCCTGGCGTATTCCAGCACTAATCAGGTTGTTAAATTAATCAAAGGAGAACATATACCAGGGAGGAGATAAAGAAAAAAACGAGAGAGGAAACTGGATGACTGTAAGAAAATAAAAGAGCGTTAAGATATTGAATTTCGGGAAAAAAACACTGTTAAAGGTGCCAAAAAGGGCTGAAGATGTCTTTATAGACTACATATCGAAGAACTGATAAAATCGTTGGTACCTGAGCAGCATAGTCGGTCATCAAATACCAGCCACGTATATTTGTAGCAAATACCATAGCCCATTGAACTTCGTTCATAACACTGTCTTTATCAAAAAAGAGCACCAACAAGTCAGTAGCCAGGACCACAAGGCCGATTGTTAGATAGTAAGCTGGGCATATGCGCTTAATTCGTCTACTGTAGAAATTAATAAGCATTGAAAGTATGGGTTGTGTACTACAACTCAGAATCATCGTGATCAGAAAACCGGATAGTATAAAAAATACATCAACACCAACGTATCCGTTCGGGAAGCGTTTAAGTGATAGATGGAACAATACAACCTGGATGACTGCTACTGCTCGTAGACCCTGGATATCATTTCGTTTTCGTGCCGCTTTCTCGTGTGTCTGCTCATCGTTATTCTGCATTTCGTTCGTAAATTAGTGCTGTTACTGGAGCACTGAAATGAGCTAAATTTTCTTGCAACTGCCCACTTTTTATCAGAAGAACTCTGCTGAGATAGACTGCGCAAAAAAGAAAAAAGCACTGATTCCGCTTCAGAAGAAATGGCGCGCATACATTCAACAAGTGAGAGGTACTAATCGGAGGTTGCTTTTGGTGTGTAGGAGTATCCCAGTAACATCACTGTCATGGAATTGTCACACCGACTGTCCTCAGGGATCCTGACGTTCTTGGTTTTATTGGTAATACTGCGACAAAGATGCAGTGAATCAATTCTCTAACTCAGATGAAGCGCCCTTTTGCATTATGGATTTCAGTTGATTACTTCTCAATACTAAAACGGACCAAAATACTGCTTTTCAGTCAATTATATTTGTTTTCCTTTATCGAACTTTCCGTTTTATTTTTCTTTTGACACGGCTTGCTTTAAAGGAATATCAAAGTTCCACTTCATTTTTCAATTACTATTATTATTGTTACTATTATTACTGTTATTATTATTGATACCAATAATTTTTACTACTGCTTGCAGTTGTTGACGATTACGTGAACAAGTAAGCAGTGTTCTTTTAAAGCAATTAATATCATGAATTATGCAGACTTATAGTAAAGTAATCTCACAAGCAAAGTCGAACCCTCAACTCACTATAGGATAGCAGTGGTACTTTTTATGGCGATACTGCTGTCTCGAGTTTGATGAATTATGATACTTAGCACCACACATTCCTTTATATTACTACTAATACATTTTAGCACTGGTGATTTAACAAACTAATCTTGGGATCAAGCGAGATTTCGGATCAGCAAGCTGGGGCGATGCAGCATTGATCGAGACAAGCGGAAAAGTTACCAGCTGCTTAGGTAAAGAGCAACGCTGCGCCTGATCAAAGTATCAAAATCTCGTGAGAACACTGGGTCACCGAGGCAGCATATCTGACGGAGCTGCAATTGCCACAGACACATAAGTAACCAGTATGTATCATGGGTTTCTACTCGATACAATAGGCCGTATTTTTGTGGTACATTATAAAATACAAAACTTTTTTACTGAGTAACGCGGTAAAACCTATAATGGTTCCACCACGTTTCTCAGACTACTGAAAAACTCAAAATCAGCGACTTAAAAACCCCACCATACTTGCACTCTGTAAGAGACAAAGACATATGCTTTTAGGATGCTGCGATAAGATCCGCATCTTATACAGTGACCGGAAACTGGTTCATTTATAGGGGTCGGTTACTTCTGATAGAAGGAGGGTGATTCAAGAATATGATATGCATCTGTGACACCATTTGCTCATACACGCATTGAAAATGCTGTCTTGCCGAGGTATTAATTTGATACAATTCGCCATTTCGGTTGCAGATGAGCACTGCAGATATCTTACTTCATTGAAGACTTGCGATTTTCATCCACAACAGTTTTTCTTAGTAAAATTCTCATCGATTCCCCTGGGCTCGGGCTTCTTCCGCGTGCTTCAGCAAATAAACAAATGAGTCGGTACGAAAAAACAGTTAAAGTCAAAATCCAAAACCCCATTAGATTCACTTTCTGTAAGAAACATTCGGAAAGCAAGCTCAAACGGTAGTCAGTGCCAACAACAACCAAACACAACCATAGTTGTTGATGATTACCCTTTCTTTCGAAGATGGGTAAGAAACAATTCGTGCTGTATGCTTTTGCCAACTATGCTCCAAAAAAGCCGAATAATCGCTTCTTGTACCTGAACTGCTCCAGGTATTCATTGAATTTAGCATCCAAATCAGTAAGGTACACCAAAAGGTAGCTTCACGAAATTTTATGTTTTTTTGCACATTTGCTGCACCGACGGTTTGAGTTAACAATTTGCACGAATACAAAATTGGATACCATATATGAATTTGTTTCCTATTTACGTGAATTCATAGCATCAGATCCAGTAAATTTAGAGGGCTGATTTTACGGAAAATTTTGGCTGCGAAGTTTAAAATGAATGGTACAGACTCTCACATACAGACACATGCCTATATACATGCACACATACACACACGCAAGCATACACACAACCAGACTTTGCCATCATGTTTCTACCCTTATATGAGAAAAAAAAAAAA